GGTGGCAACCTAGGCTCGTGATACCATGTTGGAATGAACAAGAGTGATTGCACTAGGAAAGTGTTGGGTACAAGTAGGAAACCCTAAACTTACTGTACCCCATAGTAGCTACCCCACTACAGCCTAAACAAACTGTAGCAGATATAACATTGACATCGATGTCGCCAACGCCTTTCTCCACGCTCCTGTTGATGCTGAGATTTTCGTCGAGCAACCGCACGGCTCCAACGCATACTCTAATCATGTCTATCAGCTGCTGAAGTCCCTGTACAACATCAAGCAAGCTCCAAGGCTGTGGCAGCAGTACCTACACGCCCGACTAATCCGCATCGGATCACGCCAACTACCACACGACCAAGGCATGTACCGACTCACGAAAGGCACCGACAACATCCTGCTCATCGTCTACGTGGACGATCTGCTCTACATCGGCTCGACCGACGGCATCACGACCTGGTTGGAATGGGAGCTGCAGCGGGATCTCACACTCACCGTCTCCTCCACCGTAACACAGTATCTCGGGCTCAACATACAGGAAGGAGAGAACGCGATCTACCTCAGCGCCGCGAAATACGCCGATACCATCGCCAAGCGCTTCGGACTTACCCCAGCCGCTATCTCTACGCCATACTGCTACACCGTCGGAAATCACAAGGAAACAACAGCTCCGCTCAAACCCGCCGGCATACGCGATTATCAACGAAAGCTGGGATGCCTGCTCTTTGCAGCCGTCACCAGCCGGCCGGGCCTATCATACTCAGCGAGCCAGCTCACTACCTACCTCAAGAAGCCTGAAGCAGAACACATGGCGGATCTCGACCGCACACTTCACTACCTCGTCAGCACTCCGACAATTGGCCTGACCTACTACAAAACTGAAACCACGACGCCCAAGCTAATCGGCTACGTGGATGCCGACCACGCCGGCGACTCCGACAACAGGCGTTCGTGTACCGGCTACATCTACCGACTCGAGCCTATCGGGCCTATCTCGTGGCAGTCGAGCAAACAGGAACTAATCGCCCTCTCTTCAGCTGAAGCATAATATATTGCACTCTGCTCAACCACCAAGGAAGGACTGTACCTTCATCGAACTGCTGGAAGAAGCAAAGCTGGCCCAGTTACCCAGCTTTTCTCTGTTCTGCGACAACCAATCTGCAATTCGCATAGCGAACAAAAACTTTCGCGAACCGGACGAAGCATATCGCCCTGCGATACTTCTTCGTGAAAGACGAGATTGAGAAGGGGAGACTCGAGCTATCTTACTGCCCCACGTCCAAGATGGCAGCCGATTATTTGACCAAGAAGCTCGGAAAGCAGAAGTTCGACTACTGCATGCTGCTGACTGGACAAGGCCACGCCACCAGCAACGACACTCCAGAAGCGAAGGGGAGTGTTGGAAACAAGTAATTTAACGCTTCCTATGTGTCGTAACATCGAACCGTAAACAAGGCAAGCTACAGCGGAGCAATGGCGAGTCAACCGAGGAGGTTGACAGAAAAGTAACAGCCGGAGGTTACGTGAAGGTCAAAGGTCAGCGACAGCAAGGACAAACAATTGACTCGGTATTGAGCAGTTGCCCGAGTCGTCACTGTATCGAACCGCAACAGCAACAGCAAAACGGTTATTGCTGTTAGAATCGTAGGCATGAGTAGGAGCCATAGCTAGGTAAGCCCTAGCTAGGCAAGAGAGAATAAGCAAAGGAGGATGTTCACTAGAAAGCAGCAGGATACATATGGGAAACCCTAGGGGGGTTGTACTCGCTATAGAGTACCCCACTGCAGGCTAGAGAACAATAACATTCTGACACACCCCCATAGTCAAAGTGGGGTATAATCAGCAGAGCAAGTAGTCCTAGAGCAGGTTCACATGCACAAGTAAAGCTAGGGGCAGTCGCAGAGGGCAAGTGAGGAGGAGGAGGAACTGTGGAAGGAGAGAAGATGGGAGGCAACGACTGAAGCTGCAGAGGCACGGGCACAGGAGCGGCTGACTCAGTGGCTACCGAAGCAAGGGCGACGGTCTACTGGAGTAACTGGCTCCGCGACTATAGACGAGCGGCAGGAACAACGGACCCACTGGCGCTCACTGGCTACCGAAGCAAGGGCGACGGACTACAGGCGCTGCAGGCGACACGACCGCTACCTCCACACAACCTCCTCCAGCTGCCCCACACCCTCGACACACACCCCCTGCTGAACCCCTAACTCCACTCCTACAGCACCCCCCTTAAACCCTAAACCCTAGGCTCCCACACACCCACCCCCCTCAGCGGCAGCTGCAGCAGTGGGAGACCAGGGAGGAGGAGGAGCAAGGGGAGTAACACACAACCGCCACCCCCACACTCCTCACCCCCAAACCCTAATTCAGGAGAACGGGCAGCAGTAGGGGTGGGGCACCGTCAAAAGCACGGGGGACAGCGAGCAGCTCAGGGACAGAGAGGAACGGGCCGCCCACGGGCCTGGCACAGCCCGACGAACCGCGCGCAGGCGGCCCGAGCCGCGCGCGGGCCTGGCGCAGCCCGTACGGGCCGCGCGCGGGCCTGGCGCAGCCCGTACGGGCCGCGCGCGGGCCTGGCGCAGCGCGTACGGGCCGCGCGCGGGCCGGGCGCAGCCCGTACGGGCCGCGCTCGGGGCTGGCGCAGCCCGCGCTGGCCAGGACGGGCGACGGGGGACGACGGGCTGGTCCCCGTCGCCCGTCGAAGCGCCCCCCGGGGGCGACGCGCGGACCGACGGGGCAGAAGGCCGCCGCGCGCCTCGGGGCGCACGGCGGGCAGAGAACCGCCGCACGCCCCGGGGCGCACGGCGGGCAGAAAACCGCCGCGCGCCTCGGGGCGCACGGCGGGCAGAAAACCGCCGCACGCTCCGAGCGCGCGACGGGAAGAGAAATCCGTCGCACGCCACGGGGCGTGCAACACACAGAGTAGCAGCGGAAGCAGTAGTAGGGCCCACAGGCCAGGAGCGTGAGTGCTCTGAAACCATGTTAGAATCGTAGGCATGAGTAGGAGCCATAGCTAGGTAAGCCCTAGCTAGGCAAGAGAGAATAAGCAAAGGAGGATGTTCACTAGAAAGCAGCAGGATACATATGGGAAACCCTAGGGGGTTGTACTCGCTATAGAGTACCCCACTGCAGGCTAGAGAACAATAACATTCTGACAATTGCATCCTTTCATATTCCTAGTAATCTTATAAAAAGCTTGTATTAATTCACATACCAGCGCACACATACCAGCGCAAGGTGGTTCAACAACTTATCATTAAAACGCTTCCGCAATGCAACATTCCTGTCAGAGTCCTAGCCTTGAAAGATCCTAAGGACTTTTCTCAGCCCAACACATAATACTGTAGAAGTATATTCTCGCACCACCCCAACCAAAGCGCGGAAACTCCTAGTACGGCCGTCACCAAGACAAGTAGCGGGAAAACGTATGTGCCTCCCAGAATCGTCTGCAGAGCCGCCAACCAAGGTCGATCGATGCGCTCATCTCATCTAACCCCGCGACCCTTCGAGATGTTGCCACGTATCCGTGCCGCTCCATCTCGCCAGCCGCATTTGCTCGAGTACTCAACAAAATATTTCCGCCTCCTGCCGGAGGTGAGATGTGACAATGCGATAGTGTTTCATCCCAATGATTGTTTGGGCTAACCCTAAGGGCGGGTCCAACTTTGCACATGTTCGTTTTATTTTCAGCACAGTTACCACATTTACGCTTGTAACATAACTTTTTACGTTTTACAAAGCAGTTGACTGGAAACAGTTCATCTGGCGACGCAATTCAAAAACGTTCCCTAAGACGCGCAGAACACGTCCGAAGGCACACAGTGAATTCGTCCAGCAGTCCGTATTGCGTCATGAACGGTGAACAGTAACGCAAGCGTTTCGCAAAAGGTCAGTCGCGACTAATTCGACTAGCCTCAACAAGTAGAAATTGGCGATTCGTCGTCGCGCCAATCTCATGCGTTATTTGGTAACTCTCTAACAGGTACTGTATCATGGCTCCTTGAACCATGTCAGCACTCCGAAATATATGGACAGAGACTGTTCTGAGTACCGCTTGGGGTTCAGTCAAATTTGACGAGCGCATGGACGTTAAATTTACGAAAAAAACGGTCATGTGCAAAGTTGGACCCGCCCTAAGCACTGTCTACCGCATTGCACCACACACCCACACTAAGAGCACGGATTCCCCTGGTTTCCGTACCCATCAGGATTGAAGTTGGCCTCAGCCATATATACGCGGCAAGAACAGGTTAAGTCTCTGTAATTGTAAAACACGACCATATGCGAGTCCTTAACATTTCCTGGGTACATTATCAGCACAAGGGTTTAGGGAATTCAAAAGCAACACGGCGTTTACATATATAGGCCGCTACCATAGCACGCTAGCCTTTTAGGATATAGAAGGCGAAATCCTGCATTTCCCACGTCGCACCACCCACGCGTCAGGCATTTCATTCAATGTTTAGGCTCGATTTTTTTTGTTGAGTAGGCACGGAGTAGGCACGAAAGGCAGTTTATGCGTCCAGCGCCCCGATCCATGCCCGGCCGTAGCGGCAACCGCTGAGACGCGTCCGCGCGCCGCGACGGCGCCCATGCGCGAGCCTCGAGCCTCGCCGCCATGCTCCTCGCTGCCGCGCTGCGCCACTCCGCCCGCCGCTGCCGCCAGTCCGCGGATCGTTTGCCCAGGTAGGGGGGACTTTGCGCGCGATCACGTTCCGCGCTGGTAGCAGGGGGAGAAGCAGCGGCAGGGCCTTAAGAATCATAAGAGGAGGGTGCGCTTGTGGGGTGGGCGTGCAGAGGGTGCGAAGGTGTTAGAAACCTCTATTCCTGAGAGGGTGCAGAGAGGACGTGTTTTGTTTGGAGAGGTCATTATGAGGCGTAAGTTAGGAACGTTTCCCCCTGAAGGCTTCGTAGCAACGGCGCTCTTCGCGCCTTGGCGCGTGTGTCCTCATGGTCGTGAGTTCATGGGTGGATGAACACTCACCATTCACATGCATCCAAAAATGCATCCATTCATGCGCTCTCATCGTCTCTCGTCATCCCCGTGGCTCCCCGCTGCTCATTCTCACCCTCAACTCAACCCCCTCCCATCCCCCTCCCATCCCCCTCCCATCCCCCTCCCATCCCCCGCCTATCCCCCTCTCCCGCGCGTCTGCAGCGCGCCCCGCCCCTCGCCTCGCGCGCACACTCTTGACGCACCTGCCCTCCGCTCCTCCCTCCCCCTCTGCCCGCAACTAGCTCCGCCCCCGCCCCACACCCACAACCACCAACACACTCACACTCACACTCACACCCACACCCACACCCACACCCACACCCACACCCACACCCACACCCACACCCTCACCCACACCCTCACGCACTCCCACCGGATCCTCCACATCCCCGCTTCCTGCCAATCTCTCTGCCTATCACATTCACTGCAATCACCATCAACACAATCACGAGCGGTACAGTCACTCCCTGCAGCCCTCACCCTCCCACTGTCACACGCGCCCCTGTGTTCTGAGAAGCTTCTTCCATGCGACCCCCCATGCCCACACACACATGCCTCCCCGCCCTGCCCTCCCCCTCTCCCTCACCACCTCCGCCTCCCATCTCCTGCTGGCCGCAATGAGGTGCTGCCACGTGTCAGTTTATCGTTGGCAGGGAGTGGAGTGGAGTGGGGTGGATGTGGGAGGAACACTAGAGGAGGAGGAGGAGGGGGAGGAGGAGGGAGGGGGGTTTGGGGGAGAGGATGGGGGGAGGAAATGAAGAGGTGCGCGGGGAGAGGTGCAGTGGCAGCAAGAGGAGGAGGCGGAGGAGGGGGGAGAGGAGAGGTTGGAGGAGGAGGAAAATTGGCCTGGGCGTGGATCAAGGCAAGGCGGTTTCATGGCTGTAGTGCCGCAATGGGGGAGAGTGTAGTAGCGAGGAAGGAGGGGGAGGTGGAGAGGAGGGATGGGGAGGTGGGGAGGAGGGAGGCCGAGGTGGAGAGCAGAGAGGTGGGGGAGGAGATAACGGAAGGGAGCAGAGAGGACGGAGGGGGCACATGGAGAATGGGAAGGATGGGAGGAATGGGCGGTGGCAGTGATATGCGGAAGGGCTTAGACGGGGAAGGCCAGGGGCAGGCGGGGTGGGAGGGGTTTACGGAGGTGGAGAAAGATGTTGTGGAGGAGGAGGAGAGCACAGGGTACAATGCAGGTGAGTAGGGAAGGGGAGGGAACGGGAGGGATGGGAGGGATGGGAGGGACGGAGAGAGCACAGACAGGTTTGCTCACGGGTGTTCCCAGCACGTAATCCGGTTCATCTTCATCTTCATCTTCATCTTCATCTTCATCTTCATTTTCATCTTCATCTTCATCTTCATCGTGTACTCGCCAAGTCGTCGTCCCATCCGCTCCAAATCATCGCGTCACACCTTTGTGGCTCATGAGCAAACCCCCTCGCCGCCATACCCTGAAGTCCTTGCCGAGTCCTTGCCGAGTCCTTGCCGAGTCACCCTTGCCTGTCTGCCTCCAACCACACACCCCTCCCTCCTCCCCCCCCCTCTTTTCTTCCCCACGGCCCCACCCCACTTCGTGTTTCCCGAGCAGCAGAGGCTCTAGAGAGCATGTGGTCAGTGGTGCAGCATGTGCCTGAAGGCGGCGCGCGTGTGCTGCCCTCCGTGCTCTCCTGGCACGCCCACCATGCGGACGGGCACGGCCGGCCGCTGTCCAAGGAATTGCTGCTGGCTTTGATTGGACGGCTCAAGGAGCGGCTTCGGCTTGTGCATGCGTTTGAGGTGCGATGCCCCAGGGTGCTGGAGGGTGCTGGTGGGTGCTGAGGAAGTTTGGAGTGTTGCTGTGAGTTGCGAAGTGCCAGGTTGACGGGTGGGGGAAAAGCGGGTAGCAGCCACCCCCTTTGCGTCTCCCCTTCCCCAACCTTCTGACAGCCCATTTGCACACATGCGTGCGTGCGTGCACACACACACACGTCCCCCCCCCCTCTCCCCACCTTCTGTTGTCCCCCCCCCCAGGTGGCAGAGCACATGGTGTACAGCCCGCAGTACTGGCTGGGCGAGGTGTGCTGTCCGCACAGCTTCAAACCAACTCCCTTTCCACCTCCCTCCGACACCCATCATCTTCGTCCGCCCGATCCCCCCAGGTGGCAGGCAGAGCACGTGGTGCACAGCCCACACTTCTGGCTCGGCAAGGCAAGGCGTGGTTCTCATTTTCACTCAAAATCACTTCACTGCCACCTCCCTCCGACACCTCCCCATGTCTCCCGATCCCTGCAGGTGTGAGAGCACGTGGTGTGGGGCCCTCACTGCTGGTGCTGGCTGAGCAAGGAGTGGTGCGCACTTAAATACTACTCCATGCCACCCCCCTCCAGCACCCATCCCCCCATCATCCGCTTTCCATCCCCCTTTCTCTCATCCGCCTCTCCCCTCCAGGTTTCAGAGCATGTGGTGCGCAGCCCGCACTACTGGCTGGGCAAGGCAAGGTGTGATGTAGATTAGAAAAGAACTCCCCTACTCGATCCCCCCTTCCTCCCACCTCCCCTTTCCCCCCAGGTGGCAGAGCATGTGGTGCGCAGTCCGCACTACTGGCTGGGCAAGCACGACTGGCGGCTGCTGCTGGACGTGTGCGTGCGGGCAGGCCGCGTCACCCGGGCAGAAGAAATGTTCGCGCTGCTGCCCAGAGACCTGCAAACGGAGGAGGTGATTGGTGTGTGCGTCTGGTGTCTATAAGAAGCAAGCAGCCCAGCCATGCCATGTCGATCTAATATCTAGTGGATTGTTACTTGTCTCGACACTATCTGTGCCATCTGCTCAATTCGAACACTGTTCAATACGTGCCCTCCTCGTCCCCCTTCTCAGGTATACATGGGCATTCTACACAACTACGTGCGGCGGGGGCTGCTGCAGCGGGTGGAGTCGTGTCTCAAGCCCGCTACTCCCCTCCCCTCCCATCCCCCCCCTTCCCCCTCCCCCTCCCCGTCCTCCTTTTTCAACCCCCCCAGGTGTACATGGGCATTCTGCACAACTACGCGCGGCGGGGCCTGGTGCAGCGGGTGGAATCACGCATGGTGATGCTGCGCGTCCTGGGCGTGCAGGAGAGCGCGCTGGGGTTTGAGGCGCGCATGCTGGCGTACGGCGTTAGAGGCTTGGCGGGGGACGTCGAGCGCGTTGCACGCGAGATGGCAAGCAAGGTGCGGTGGTAAGGGGGAGAGGGGGGGGCAGAAGTGGGGGGAGAAGGAGGGGAGGGGGAGGGGTCAGGGATGGGAGGCAAGAGAAAGGGTTAGCTCGTTGGGGTTTGAGGCGCGCATGCTGGCGCACGGCGTGCGAGGCCTGCTTGGGGACGTGGAGCGCGTTGCACGGGAGATGGCAAGCAAGGTGCGGTAGGGAGGGAGGGAGGTGGAACGGGGAAAATGATGGGGGGAGGGAGGGGAAAGGGTTAGCATGTGGAGGGGTGGGTTAGGGGTAATGGTGGAGGGGAGTGTCAGAGGGGTGGGAAGGGTAATGTGGGGGGGGAGGCGTGACTGGTTGGGCGGGACACGTGGGTGGAGCGATTGGCGTTTGGCATCACCACCACCACCACCACCACCACCACCACCACCACCACCACCACCACCACCACCACCACCACCACCACCACCACCACCACCACCACCACCACCACCACCACCACCACCACCACCACCACCACCACCACCACCACCACCACCACCACCACCTCCATTCCCCGTTTCCCAGGGCATCCCACCGTTCCTCCTCCTTCACTCAATCCCCTTTCCGTCCCCCCCATTCCCCCGTTCCCCCAGGGCATCCCCCTCACGCCAACGGCCTACGAGTATCTCATGCAGGCCTACGCGCGGCGCCGCCACCTCCCATCCATCCGCGCCCTCCTGCACCGCCTCGCCCACTCGCCCCTCCCGCCCTCCCTCCCCACGCTCACCGCCGCCGCCTGGGCGTTCTTCTCCCAGGGGCGAGTGGGGGAGGCGCAGGGGGTGGTGCGGGAGATGCGCGCGCTGCAGGCGGGGAGGGGGGAGGGGATGCCGGTGCCGGTGCTGGTGGGGCTAGCGTGGGCGTATGCGCGGATAGGGGATGTGCGGCGGGTGGAAGAGGTGGTTACAGAGCTGGAAGGAACCAAGGAGCAGGAGCTCAGGTGAGTGTCAGAGAGACACGGCGGGAGAATTGGGGGGAAGCAGGGGTTGAGGGGGAAGGATGTTGGAGATGGGAGAGGATGGGGTGAGGGGGGGAATGGGTTGAATGGAGGAGGGGTGAGTTGATCTGCTAAGGCTAGGGCTGTGCCGCGGTGAGTTCATCCTGCTTCACCTCTCTTCACCACTCTCCACCCCTTTCTTCCACGTTTCATCCCTCTGCACCCCTCCCTCTGTTGTTCCTGTCCCATGCAGGATACTGCAAATGGCTCGAATCTACTGCTATGCTGTGGCTGGCCGAGTGGAAGACGCTGAGAAGGTTCCGTCTATCCCGCCCTTTCCCCACCTTTACCCTTCTTCATCCCACCTTTGTACCACGTTCACTCCCTAAACCCCTTCACCCCAAACCCCGAGCTTTCTCCCTACGGCATTCTTCCAGCAAGACCGCCACTGTCCCGCTCTTGTACTGCGTCACGACTCTTCTTTTGCTCATTCGTTCATCCCATCCTCCTCTATACTCTTGTCTTCCAACCCTCCACACCAACTGCGTGAAGTCCAAACCAAGCCTCACCACCGTGCTCTTAACCTGCCTCCATCCCAATCTATTCCATCCCATCCCATCCCATCCCAACCCCTCTCCACCACAGGCCTTCGCAGCCATGCAGCAAGCAGGCCACGCACCCACAACAGCAGCCTACAACTGCCTACTCCTCGCATACACACACTCCCACCGCATGCACGACGCCCTCTCCCTCCTCTCCACCATGCGCGCCTCCCACATGCTCCCTGACGCCGCCACCTACCACCACCTCATAACCGGAGCGCTCTATAACGAGGATACAGACAGTGCTGTGAGTCTGCTGCTGCAGGCAGCAGCAGCGGCGGCAGCAGGGCATCCATGGTCCTGGAAGAGAGGAAGTGCAGGCCCCCGGGTTGATGGTGCAAACCCCGTGGTGGATGCCCTAGGGGAGGACTGCGGGAGTGAGTGGGGCGTGAGGGAATGGGGCGTTGTGGGTGCGCAGAGTGGGGTAGGGAGTGGTGAGTGGGTGCGTGGCGCGCGGGTGGTGGGTGGGCGGAAAGGTGAGAGGAGAAGGCGGAGGTTGCAGGTGAGGGTGGGGGTGTTTCTTGCAGTGGTGGAGAGATTAGCAGAGGCAGGGGAGATGGAGAGGGTGGAGAGGGTGGTGAGTGAGGTGGGCAAAGGAATGTATGCGATGGATGCTGGGATGTACAATCTGGTTCTGCAGGCTGTGTTGCGTGGAGCCGGGCGGGGTAAAAGGGGGAAGGGAGTGGGGGCGGTGGAGCATGGAGCGCACATGGTGGAGGGAGGAGAGAAGGAGAAGGGGAGTGAAGTGGTGGGTGAGTGCTCGAAGCGAGATGGAGATGATGGGGATGATTTCAGTGGTGGAAGTGGTGTGATGGAGGATGTTGGGGTGGAGGAGCAAGGGCAGGAGCGGCGGGTGGAGGAGGGGGTGCGGCGAGTGTTGAGGTTGTTGCGCGCCTCGAGAATACGGCCAAACGTGCAAACACGAGTTGTTTTGGCAGGTGCCGGGTTAGTGAGTCTGCTTGATGAGGAGGGGCTTTCTGAAGTCGTGCCACGTCCACGATGATATTCGGTGATAATAGTCAATTTGAGGCCGCTTCACATGTCCATTTTTGTGAATCCTTGTGCAAGTGATTCGTGCTTGTGAATTGGAAGTTTAGCAATATAATGTGGTTCAGGCATTGGCACTACATTTGTCAGGAACAAACATTGTTCTTTAGGTAATATATAAATGAAGGGCAAATATGTTCATGATAGCGGAGCACCAGATTTCAGGAGCACTTCTTGTAGCGCTGAGGTAAACGGGAAGTCCCACAGCCACCAAGATTTTCGAGGCTGCACCTCATGACCATGGCCCATGGCCCAACATCCTCCGCTCCCTTCGTGTGTGGACTTGAATACACGTAATATTTGTAAAGGTCTTTCTCGGTTTTAATCGAAAATGTCCGAACCAATCCACTCTACTAAGGAATGGTAAATAGTGCACGAAACCACCACCGTACTGATGACGGTACGGCCTTTCTCGGGCTGGGTAATGTAGGAGTCGCATTCTGCTATCAACACTGTTGAGCATGAGAGAGGAGACGCCTCCTCGAAACTAGTGAAGCTTCAAAAGATGAACGTGTAAATAATGTAGAGCGTTGACTGGCGTGGGGTCACGATGGACGGGGCGCAATGTTTGATGCCATCAAACCGCCCGTCCAATGCGCGGTTCGCGGCTCCGTCGACGGTAACCGCTTTGCCAGCTCTCTCCAGTTTCTTGTGTGCAGTGTAGTGTACGCTGCTCTCACTCGATTCGACGCTTCAGCCGAGATATCTTGTCTCTGGTTTGGAATTTGGAACCTCCAGCTCCAGCACAAACCAAACTGAAACGAACCTCACATACACGCAACTTGGCACCATGGCTGCTATGTGACCTTGCCTCATACAGAAACCTCGCCCCAAACTAGCGACCATGTGAAGCCCAAAACGGCACTAAGCCCCACTGGACTAGACGACGGTCGGAAATTCCTGTCAGGTCGCGTCCAGGCTAGATGCGCACGCACCTCTTGCCCTCGACGCTGCTTGCATTGGCTCCTTGCAAGTGCACATCAATCGTTTGTTCCCACCAAGCTCCACAAAAGCAAGCAACTGCAGGTTTCGTAGATGTGCCGCCTCGGTTTTCCCCGCCCCCACACGTCGAAACGTCCGCTTCAAGTTGATCAGATAAGGCATTGCCAAGCATTTGGCATTCGCATCACAGCACGCGCCGTGCTGTCAGACCTTTCAAAAGCTCCGCCGCCGAACGCAAATCCACGCGAACTCTCAGCTGAGCCGAGCACACGGTAGTACCGATAGTACTAGTCACGGTTGTATACTTGTAATTCCGTAGTACTGGTGGTGCTGGTGGTGCTGGTGTGATAATTACCACTGCACCGACCAGAGGGGGCAAGGGTTGAGGCCGCAACAGCGGACGTTCGCTTGCCGCGACGCGACCGGCCGTATCGCCGCAATGGAAGGGGCCCGCGCGTTTTCCGGCAAGGCCCGAGCCAGCTGATAGTCCACGTGATGTTGCCATTAGCAGTTGCACCGCTGCGGAATCCGAACCCGCATGAGGAGTGCGGGTTCTGCGCGACCACTCTAGTCGCGCAAGACCGTGCGCTCCTCCGCCCCCCATCCCCTTCCGATCCCCCGCGCCTGCTCTCCCAGTGAGAGGGGATCTTTCGCTGCTAGTACTAATCTGCCTGCCGTTTCTTCCACCTCCAACCAGCCCTGGTGGTGATACTGTAGCGCCGCGAAGCACCCTTCTCTCATGCCCCCCTCCCCCTCTCTGCGCCACCTCCGCCGCCGCCCCAACCTCTGTAAGAGGTTCTTAGATTCGAGGCGCCCAACAGCCCGTCGATCAGCAGCAATAGCAGCAGCAGCTACGAAAGCACCTCTCGTGCTGCATCCAACGCCCCCCAGAGCGTCGTTGCGGGGCGACCAGGACGAACTCCGAGTCCGGTTAGTAACCGCGCAGCTGAGACCAGATACGCTTACCGTATTACCTTAGTAGGAGCAACTGAGACTGCCGTATTACCTTGCTGCCAGCAGCAGCAGCTATTCAGATCGCCGAAGTCGTTTCCGAAAACTGTGACGGAAAAACTGAGAGGCCAGCAAGAGATTTGGTAGCACGAGAGCTCGGAGCAGCATGCGCTGAGCGTCCCAAGCGCAACGCGGACCACCAGTGACCGCTACTGCCACTCGCGATCTCCGTGCTTCGAGCCACGGAAAGTAGTACTAATACTTTCCCGTCCCGGCCGGTCTTGTTACCTTAGATCCTTCACGCCCCACGCCGCGCACGCTCCCAGTTTGCGCAGCCGCGTACCGCGTCGACGGCGAAGGAATCGCTGCGCGACATCTCGAGAGGCAGTAGCTGTTGTTGTAGTCAAACCAGCTGGTGCTGGGCCGAGTAGATTCGGCATTGACTTGGATTCGGTCATCTCCTGCCGCACGAACTTTCTCTCCCTGCCCGGATTTGGATTCGGTCAGCCTCTCCCGCCTCACATCCCACAGTAAAGCTTGCACATCACCACCAACACCATCATCGCCGTCGCCATCGCCGTCGCCGTTGCCGTCGCCATCGCCATCGCCATCGCCATCGCCATCGCCATCGCCACCACCTAATGGGTTGCTTCGACTGCTTCCGCGCATCGCCGCGCCGAGCGCCGTCCAGAGTCGCTGCGGCCGGCTCGGGCAAGGACTGTCGCAGCAGCAGCGCCGCTGGCGGCGGCAGCTTCGGCGACAGCGACGCGAAAGCCGACGACGGCGGCGTGATGTGCGTGCTGGGCGGCAGCGACGGAAGCTCCGCCGGTGGTGGCAGCAAGTGTGTATTGAAGGACAGCAATCGCCATAGCGGTGTTTTTGCGGCCGGCAATGGCGCTGCTACCGCCGCTGGTGGCGGTGGCGGCGGCGCTGGCTACTTGCCGGACGACTCGCGGGCGGCGGGCGCGGGGGCCTCATTGAAGGAGAGGCGCTTGGATGGCGCGGAACAGGATGCGGGGGAGCTCGCGCAGCAGCATGATCAGCAGAGCCCCGACGCGCTCGTCAGCCCGTCACTCTCCCCCTCGCTGACGCTGTCCAAAAGTACTTCTTCCTCCGCCTCCTCCTTCTCCTCCACCTCCCTCTCCTCCTCCTCCTCCCTCTCCGGCCCTATCGTTTCCGCCAATCCCGCCGCTTCCGCGCGCGCGCTCGCCGCTCTCCCAGTCCCGCCTTTTGGCGGAGTCCCTGTCCCACTACCCGCGCCGTCCCCCGCCCGCCCCGCTTCCCCCCTGCGCTCGCCCTCCCCCTCGCGTTCGTTCCGCAGTGGCGGACTGGCACGGATGGGGTCGGGGCGATTTCCAGGCGTGCAGATCGGTGCTGCTGGTGCGCCGGGGTCTGCAGCTTCCCCCCGACCCAACAGCGGCAGCGGCGGCGGTGGCATGGGCGGCAACACGGCGGACGGAAACCGCCGCCAAACCGCAGTGCCAGCAGCGCCAGCGGCGGGAACGACCGCGCCAGCGGCGGCGGCGGCGGGAACCGCGAGCGACCCAAGCCCCGCAGCGGACCTCTCATTGGACCACGTGCTCGTTCCCGCCAGCTCGCACCGCAACCTGCCAGTCCTGGACCGCCAGCTGGCGGGCTCCGGGCGGCTCAACTCCTTCTCCCTCGCCCAGTTGCACGGCGCCACGTGTCAGTTCGCGCTGGAAGGGCTGCTCGGCTCGGGCGGGTTCGGGAGCGTGTTTAAAGGGACCATGTGGGACGGGCGGAGCGGGCGCAAGGTGGAAGTTGCCGTGAAGGTTCTCAACACGGCGGGGCAGCAGGGCGACCGCGAGTGGCAGGCGGAAGTGCAGGTATTGGCGCGCCTGCACAACCCGTGTCTCGTCCCCCTGCTGGGGGTGTGCGCGGAGGGGGAACAGCGCCTGCTCGTCTACCCCTTCCTCCCCGGAGGCTCCCTCGAGCGCCGCCTCTTCCCCGCGCTCTTCCTCCCCCCGTCCTCCGCGCCCCCGCCCACGCTCCCCGCGGGGCTCTCGCTCCCCCTGGGCGCTGCGGCCGGCGGAGGGTTCCCGGGGGGCGTACCCAGAGCATCGTCTGGTGGGGGAGGGGGAGGGGGAGGCGCGGACGTGAAGGGGATGAAACGCCCTGGCAGCAGCAGCGGCAGCGGCAGTGGCAGGCGACCCAGCAGCAGCGGCGGCAGCAGCAGCAGCAGCAGGGGGGGGTTGGCGGGGGGAGAGGAGCAGCGGCCGCTGCAGTGGCTGCACCGCATCCGCATTGCCATAGCTGCGGCCAAGGGACTCAAGTTCCTGCACGAGGAGATTGACAAACCGGTGAGGCGAGGGGGAGAGAGGAGCATGCAAAGAAGAGTACCGAGTCCCGTACTCCCAACCACACACACACACTTTTTTCCTCCACCCCCCCCCTTACCCTCCCCGCAGATCATCTACCGGGACTTCAAGACGTCCAACATCCTGCTGGACCGCCATGGCGACGCACAACTCTCTGACTTTGGCCTTGCACGCCTGGGCCCGCAGGGGGAGCTCTCGCACGTCACCACTCGGGTACGCTTCCCCTGTCCCTCTCTGTCTTTCCAGCCTCATCGTGCTGCTGGTAAAGGTGCTGTGCTGGTAGTGATGGGCGGGCCTCTTGGGCCCGCAGGGGGAGCTCTCGCATGGCACCACTCGAGTACGCCTGCGCTGCTCTGCTCGCTGCTGCAGGCGGTTTTGCTTGCTTGGCTGCTCTGCTCCCGCACCGCACCGCTAGCTCTCTCGTGCCTTAGTGCTTGCCTCGTGTCTTCATGCTGCTGGTGCGTACAGTAGTAGTGGACTGGACTGGCGTAGTGCATGTCTTAAAGGCCCCCCTTCCCCGCCCCCTTCCCCCTCACTTCTCCCCCCATCAGGTGGTGGGCACAGTAGGGTACGCAGCACCGGAGTACGTGCTAACAGGCCATCTGTCCATCCGAAGCGACGTGTGGGGCTTCGGAGTCGTGCTGCTGGAGCTGCTCACAGGCCGCCCTGCTCTCGATAAGACCCGGTGAGAGGAAGGGGAGTGGGGGTTGTGCCTGCACGGGTATCTACCTGATGGCGAGTTGTGAGGCGCCTCACGGGTGCTGCTGGATCCTCGCATGCCCTTTGCCTCTGGACCGTATGAAGCATGCCGTCTTCACATCTTCACATTCCTGTGTAGCGTGTTTGTGGCCTAAACACACTTGCTATATTGCGCTCCTGCCTGCTGCCTCAATCACTCTTCCCATCCCAGGCCTTCAACACATGTCAGAACAATCCACAGCCTCTTTTCACCACTGTTCCCGTAGTGTATACAGTCCTCTCTCCACCCACAGTCCTCCACCCGCCTACAGCACGCTCACCTGCTCTGCCCCCTCTCCCCCATCTTCCCCCTCTCCCCCATCTTCCCCCTCTCCCATAATCGTGTCCCACAGGCCCAAGCCCGAGCAGTCTCTAGTGGACTGGGCGGCGCCGTTCCTCTCTTCTCCCTGCAAGCTATACCGCATAATGGATCCCGCTCTAGCGGGGATGTACAGCGTGCGCGGCGCGCAGCTCACAGCAGCCGTGGGGCGCCAGTGCCTCAGCGCCAAGCCAAAGCTCCGCCCGCTCATGTCCCACGTGCTCGCGTCTCTCCTGCCTGTATTAGACCTGCATGATATGGCGGGTTTCACGCTTGATCAGCCGATCGGGGGTGGTGGGGGAGGGGGGAGGGAGGAGAGAGAGGCGGGGGATGGGGTGGGAGGGAGGGGTGGCGGGGGTGGTAGCAGTGGGGGATGGGTGGGCGGGGGAGTGGGGAGGGCTGGTGGGAGTGGCAGTTGCATGGGGTTTGGGAGCCGGGGAGGGTTGAGACCAGGGAGTGCAGGAGGGGGAGGGGGAGGAGGCGGAGGAGGAGGAGGAGGAGGCACAGGAGGGAGGTTGGTTCCGGGTGTGGGGTTGGGACTGCTGGGAAGCAGCAGGAGTGTGGTGGTGGGAGGGCGGTTGGGAGCGGGAGGGGGTTCATCCGGCACCGTGTTAGTGGGGAGGGGAGAGGGCGCGGGGGAGGGAGGCAGCAGCAGCATCAACGGCAGCAGCAGCAGGGGAGGAGGAGGAGGAGGAGGAGGAGGGGGGGTTGGGGGGATGAGGATAGGGCTGGTCGCCTCAGGAGAGGGGGCACTCGCTCGGAGTGTGTCGGTTGGTGCGGGGGTGAGGGGTGGAGCGAGGGGGATAGTGAGGAGTGCTAGTGGCAAGGATGGGAAGCTGGGAAAGCAGGGGAAGGAGGAGGAGGGGAAAGAGGCGGGTGGGCCGTCAGTGAGAGAGGTGGCTGTGGTGGGGTGTACAGCTGGGGAGGGGAGAGGAGGTAGGTTGGTCAGGAAAAGCAGCGGGAAGAGCGAGAGTAATGTGGGGGAGATGAGAAGACCTACGATGTGAGAGGATGAGAAGCAGAGGACATGCAAGTGCATACTGCACTGTGTTCTGGGCATTGAGATGCCTGAAGGAAAGAACACCGCACAAGGGGATAAGGGCTGCATCGGAGTGGGTTGGAGTGGCAAAGAAGGGTATGCAGGGTTTGTCTGGATGGGCGCAGGAGTTGTCTGGATGGGCAAGTATGAGGAGGAGAGAGGAAGAGAGGAAACGGGAACGTGGGACCCTCTAGAGTTGGTGATCCTCTATTTGACTGTCCCTGACTTTCTCAGTGAGGGACCTGCCATGGGCCTGCAGACACTGCAGTGCACTCGCTGCAAGGGTGCCTGCCTCGCGTCTCCGTGCGAAAGAGAGTGGGAAGGGATGACTATCAGCCATTCCGCCCGAGCGCTTGATCTGGAGCATGACTGGCAGGAGGGAGTGTGGTGGGTGCACGTGCATGCGCTGCAGTGGAAGCGCATACAGTTAGCAGCCATTTGGGGATGGTGCAATCTTTGCTTTATGACATGACAAGGGTGAGATTGCTATGCTTGTTTTGTAAGCTCTGTACCAATAATGAACCATAAAATAACACACCCTGTTGTACATGTATTTTCTGCATTTGTCCACTCCAGCGATACGGTACATTTGTTTTGCACCTCGAGGATTACTTTAGTAGCATACGGTATCATGACCACCATTCTGCAAAACAGGTGTGAGAGCTGAGCTATCATTGGCACTGAACTGTACTTGTTGCTCGTTATCAATCCCAACGTGGTGGCCTTCTTTCTACCTCTGCCCTCTCAATGCCGTCTGCCAATCAACTACACATAGTGCTTGCAGGAATACTCTCCGCAAGGGGCCAACCCATCAACTCCATACACAGATCCTTGTACGGTACTGTACACACCATTACCCATGATAGATACTGCCAACATACATGGAGGTGCGAGCATGGCCCTTGATTGCAACCAGGGGTGTCACAGAAGAGAGGAGCCTCACAGAAGCAACAGCAGGATTACCCCCCACAATCGGTGGTACCATAACAAGTGAAGTCATTCTGACTGCTACAGCAGGATTGTTGGAGCCCGTACCGCACCGCATATGGGTGCCGAGGCGATCTGCATGTATTCCCATTCCCACCCATTCCAATCCCATCTAAGCAGACTTGGAATACGGTACCCCAAGGTGGCTGTTACGGTATTCAGTAGACTCAGCCCCAACTGCGTGCAGGCACAGCTGACGGTAACCCTCTCATTCACCCTCATATTCACACTCTCTGAATCAACCTGGAATCAGTTCCACCATTCATCCCGTAAGTGTATGTACGGTTTATGCAGGTCGTGTGGCCCGGTATCTCCGGGGTCTCTCAGTGCAGTTCAGCGCCTCATACAACACCCAAAGTCACCAGGACACCACATGTAGCCTTCAGGCATGCCGTGCCATGCCAAGTCCTGCCATGCTGCGCCAAGTCCTGCCATGCTGCTCAGCTCTGTATCCCCTCTCCTAGAGGGCTTGCATTCCGTTAACCCAAAACTGGCATCCATCTTCCTTCATTACTGCACATGCACTGCTCGTTGTTCACTGCTCAAGCTGCCTCAGAACCCGACACCATGCCTGCAGCAGCAAGAGCATTTGAGGGAGCGGCCCCTTTAAGCATTGAATACCCCCACCCCGCAGGCAGGCAAGCACACAAACGTTACTGCATGCCTGGATGCTGTCCTTTCTGTCATCCTCTCACGTTTTTCCACGGGAAAAGCTTCCTCTTTCGGCTGTGTCGGTTGGGCTTGCAGCAGTAGCTGAAGCATCTTGCAGGCAGCGACAAACGAATTGCTGCAGAGGAGGAGGAGGAGGAGGAGGAGGAGGAGGAGGAGGAGGAGGAGGAGGAGGAGGAGGAGGAGGAGGAGGAGGAGGAGGAGGAGGAGCAGGAGGAGGAGGAGAAGGGCACTGGATATAAAGTCGCACGAAGGCAGCAATGCACATAGGCCCTCGTTTGGCTGTGTACCTGCCCATATGCTGCTACAGCAGCTGCCCATGAACTGCAGCACGTGCTGCTACAGCCAGGTAGCAGACGACGCATGTGGCTTCAGTGGCTCCGAGTTGTCCACGTCAGCCCAGATGAATGGGTCACGTTTGACCAGTCAGACAGTCCCTCTAAGCACTCCACATCAGTATATCTTCCACGAGGGTATAATGCCTGGAGTGTAGTCATCCCCCACTGCCACGTTATCCCACACGAATGTGGTCACTGAATCGCGTATAGCTGTCACATTGAACACCCCAGCCACCCTCCTGCCGGGCCAGGAAGCCCGGTAATGCATCCTGTAACTTTCCCTGCTTGACGTGCGAAAAATTAGCATCCTGGTCCGCTGCTGTGGTACGTACAGGTGGTAACCCGAAATACGCACAGCCAGGTTTCGCGCCCGTTTTTGCTGATTCACTACAGTGACAGCCAGGGTGTGCATAACGGGAGAGTACACCGCAAGTACTGTATGCTGGCACTCCTCCCGAACCAGAAGCGGCAGGCTACCTGGCGGCATCCAACGCGTGAAGTGTAACATCGTCCAAAACTGTTTGGTAACCACCGGGCGTAACGTTTCGCTGTACGAAAAGTCCTGCCAGATGAGGCCCCAACCGGAGGGATTCGGCTGCTGCAGCGCGAGCCAGTGATACCACGCCTCAACGCCCATCAGATTTACGTGTTGGATTATCGTTCGCGCCATAAAACACGCGATTTGCATCTCCGATCCTCGCACGTTTACCGGGCCCCACTCCGTCTGCCACAACGGCTTGCCTAGGCGTCTCGCCGCGTCTCGTATAGCGCGGAACTGTCGCTCGTCTCTCCCCTGCGTCATCCTAGCCGGTGACCGGTACCCGTGGACGTTCAGCTGGTCCCACTTGTCGCTGTTCTGCGCGAACACGCGCGACATCGCACGGAAGGTCTGCGACGGCCAGCTGTCGACGCCTGCGACGAAAACGTCGCCCAGACCGTACTGCTGCAGTCGTGGGCGAAGCTTCCCCATCACCTGTGCGATGTCGCTCTCGCTCATCGCACACCCCTCCCGCGCGCCGCCTTTCACCCACCATGGTTCCAGCGGCTCGTTAAAAGGCGAAACGCTGCGAAACTCAATCCCCAGATCGTTCTGCAGGTGCCAAACCACGCGCGCGACATACTCCGCGTAGCTGTCGTAATAATCCGGATTAATATTCGGCTGGCCGTCCGCGTTCCCCGCCGTGTCGTTAGACTTAGTCATCCACCAGGGTGGCGAGTCGCACACCGCGTCGAATACCTCCACGCCTCGCTGCTTCGCGCCGCGCAGCGCTTCCACCTGCCGCCAGTCGCCCGTCCAGTTGTACCGCCCGCGCGCGCTGCTGTACCCGCGGAACACGTCCCGCTGCGCCAGGCGCGGGCTGTAGCGGGGGTCGTAGCCCCCGGGGATGCTGTAGCGCGCGATGGTGAGCCCCAGCCCCTTGCGCGCGTGGAAGAGCAGGTCCAGCAGGTACTCGCGCCGCCGCAACGGCAGTCCGCCGATGTACCGCCCGGACCTTCCATCGCTCCGCGGGGATCGGGAGTCGAGGGGGGTTCCGGTGATGGAGAGAGGGGTGAGGGTTACAAGAAGTAAATGCTTTATCGAGTGGTTGGGTGACAGAAAAGTAGAGATTGGGGGGACGTGGGCGGGACTGAACGGAGTGGATGAGGACCAAACGGGACGCGAACGCGAAGGAGGAGCGGTTCAGATTGGCCGTGAGGAATAAAAGAAGGATCACGGCAGTGACATGCCTACCCTTCCATTCCCTTCACATACCACGCAAGCGACGTGCCCCATCCCTTCCACACCGTTCCCACGGTGTCCATTCCTCTCTGCACCTCGATGGGTGCGACAAGCCGTCTTCGCCTCCTACCTCTCCTCACACTTCCCTCGCTCCTCCTCTCCTTGTCTCTCATCCTCGTCACTTCCCATGTTGTCTACTTGGCGCCTGACAGTTTCGCCGACTACGTCGGAGGCGAGAAGGCCGTGTTCGTCGAGTTCTACGCGACATGGTACGCGTTAGAACCTGTTCTGTTACCAGTACTGCCTTGCATGTGTTAAACACCTGTCCAGTGGCAGTTTCAGTTTCCGTGCGGTGGCAGTGTTGATGAGGCTGTGGCTGTGGCAGTGGCATTTGCGGCGACAGCGCATATCGTGACGTGCTCGTTCGTCCCGCGAGGTCGATGTCCCCAGCTAATGTTGTTGCCGTAGGACCCCGATCTCGGTCGGCGAAGAAAGTCAAGTCTTTCCGCCATGGCCAGGATTTCGTTGAATTCGGTGACATTGCGCAGCTGGATATCCTGAGCGATTTCATGTTTCAGGCCGCCGATGTAGCGATCGATACGAGCTCCCTCGTCCATGGATCCCACCTTCTTGTACAATGCCAGAAATCCGCTGGTGTAGTCCTGGACGGAACCGAGCTGACGCCAAGTGCGGAGCCTCTGACGCTCCGCAATAGAAGCCGCAATCGGCTCGAATCTCGCGCGCAGACCTGCGCACCACGCATACCACGTGCGATACTGGGGCACTTCCACGAAATATGACGTCGCCCAGGGTCCGGTTTGTCCTTCACGTGTCGGTAGAATTTGATAGTCTGTCGGCTTCGTTACGATGACGCGTCACCAATCCATGGCAAGTCCTCACAGCAGCGACACGGCGTAACGAATCTTCGCCGAATCCTCCGAGATGTTCGCGTCGAAAAACACGTTCATGGTGAATAACCACGCCTGAACGGTATGACCACCCCGTTGACTCGTGTCAAAGCAAGGCGGACGCTGTGACTTCAGCGGCATCGGCAACGGCAGTACTGGCTCGCCGGTCGGCACCGAAATTGTGACGCGAAGTTGACTTCTGGCCGCATTCGTCGCTCCGGGGTGTGTCGTGCCGTGGTTGTCGTGTCCGTCGTTGTGGGCAACGCCTGTCAGAAGTTTAGGCAGGAATGAATGAACTAGGAAAGTGTTGGGTACAAGTATGAAACCCTGAAAGGGGCTGTACCCCATATTGGCTACCCCACTACAGCGTAAACATATATGTCATACATATAATTTGACACACCCCCATAGGCGAAGTGGGGGAGAGCAAGGGGTCACAAGACCAGTCAAGAGAAGCAAAGCAAGCTCAGGGTGGATCACAACGTCACCACACACACTGAGCACAAGCAAAGGGCCACAAGGCCAGTTCACATGCAGAGGTATATATGCAACAACAACAGCCTCACAACTGGAGCTGAGAACAGAAGACGAGCGTGTAGACCGCCAAGAAACAGAGCCAGAGCCAAGACTGAAGGTGTAACCCTGTGACGACTGCTACGTAGCCAGGTCGTCAACCCAGGAAGCGTCTGAGTGACCAGTGAGGACAACGTTGCCCCGTCCTCCAAGCACGAGCCCCATGCCCGATGCACTGCACAAGTAGCGTAGTACCCTCTTAGCAGCATCCATGTGCACCTTTCGGTGCCGACCAGGAGCCACGTAGCGAGCCAGAAGGCCAAGAGGGTACGCAAGGTCAGGACGAGTGCAGGTCATCAGGTACATGAGGCAGCCCACTAGCTCTGGGTAAGGACCACTCGGCTCTACGGACTCGTCCGAAGGTGGAGCTGAGAGCGAGTGACCTGTAGCCAGAGGAGTGGCCTGTGCTAAGGACCAGGTGAAGCCGAAGCGCTGAAGGACCTGCTGCACCATGTGTGACTGAGTCAGTGTGATGGTGCGGCGTGCTCTGTCCCGGGAGATCTGCAAGCCAAGGTAGCTGCGCAGCTCACCCAGGTATGTGCACGTGTGTCTCTTCTACAGCTCCGACTTCACCAGGGCGAGAGCCTCAGTGTCAGCAGTGGCAAAGACCAAGTCGTCGACGTACACGAGGATGTAGAACGGCGGCAGCGAAGTGTCGGTGCGCAGAAACAGTGAGGGGTCAGCAGTCGACGGAGCAAACCCAAGAGCCGCAAGTGTCGTCCTCAGTGTGTCGTGCCACTCACGCGGCGCCTGGCGGAGACCGTAGACTGGCCGCCGGAGGCTCTACTGGGTACCAGGAGGGAACGACCCAGTGAAGCCAGGTGGGCGGCGCAGCCAGATCTCCTCGTGCAGGCTGCCCTGTAGGAAGGTTGTGCTGAAGTCAAGAGAGTGAAGCTCGTAGTCACGCTGAGCGGCAACGTGCAGCAGCACTCGAAGAGTGGTCATCTTCGGGGTGGGGGAGAAGGTCTGGAAGAAGTCAACTCCCTCCCGCTCACTGAAGCCTCGAGCAACGTTACGAGCCTTGAAGACAGGCGGAGAACTCGGCGGCCGCTTCACCCTGAAAATCCACATGCCATCGACGATGTTCGCCCCCGGAGGGGGAACCTCATCGACGTAGGTGCCTGTGGACTTCCAGGATGCCATCTCTGCGTCCATGGCTGTCTGCCACTGAGAGGAGTACTCACCCGCGATCGCCTCAGCGTAAGAGCGCGGGGTCGGGATGTCTGGAGCATCCGGGTCTCCCTCAGGGGCAAGCAGCATGGCCACGAGATGAAGCGCAGCGGCTGCAAGACACTCAAGGTCCTCCTGCCTGTCCTCAAGGACGTCCGTGCCAAGAGCACACTCACCCCCGACGGACGGAGGACAGACAAACTCTGACTCGGCAACAAGACTAGCGGCGTAGTCTAGACGACAGGCAGCAGCAAAGTCAACAAGCTCAGCGACGAAGGCAGACGCAACAGCAGACTCAAATGTCGGGTCAGTGACAACAGTGGCAAGCAGACGCGTGACCGTAGGGTGCTCAGCACGAAACCGGTCAGACTCAGGGTCAGCAACGACAGGCAGAGAAGACGCAGGAGGAGACGGCAGAGGAACAAGCTGCGGGGTAGAGGAAGGACGTAGAGCCATGAGGTGTGTGCCGGGGACAGCCGGCGGATGCGGACGAGGAACACGACTACCAGTGCGACCAGTGCGGACAGTGCGAACAGGCGAGACAGGACGCGACGCAGGCTC